CTGGAAGCCACCATTGCTGGCCTAAGTAGTTACATTCTTCATCAGATGCATTGTAAAACAATGCATAAAGACAGAAATCAATTTATGTTTCCAGATTTGACACTTTGTCATCAGTAGTGTGTGTTCTTTCTTTTAAATGAAGATCCTTTTCCTATCTAGTTCACAATAAAATTACCAGGATTAATTGAAAATATCCATAAAGTACTTTGTAGTCCTCTGAGACAGTAACTATGTAAATATGGGTCATGATTCTTATTCTTTTTTTCTTAAGATAAACCTACCACCCGCCAAAGAGATTGTTTCATGGTGATTTGGGAGATTAAGTCAATTAAAAAGAAGAAACCACCGTAGTTAAACGAAATAAATTTTTGCTGTTTTTTATTTTATTTTTTTTTGCTAAACTATAAATAACACAAATGAGTACTTTCTGTAGCAAACTACATTAATTTGAATAAAAACATGTTTTCCATTTGGTAAAGAAGCCATTTTTTGACCAGGATTAACCCTGAATCCCACCTCAGGCATGTCAGTAATCACAGGCATGAAATCTTCCCTCATAGTCCTTGTAGGGGCCTTTGTTTGGCTGGACACAATCCATGCCCGCATAGTTAAACCTTTAGAGGAACTACTCGGAAATTCTTTCAGGAAATAAAAAAGAACAAAAAAAAATAATAAAAAAGCTAAAGGGAGCAAAAGGGAGCAGGTGGATGTGAAAGGGTTTTCCTCCCTTCGCCGCGCCGCTCCCTCCCTCCCTTCCGTTCCTTCTTTCCTTTCTTCCCTTCCTTCTTCCTTCTTCTCTCTCTCCCTCCCTCCCTCTCTCCTCTTCTTCTCTCTTTCTTTCTTTCTTTTCTTGACTTGCTTCGTTGTTCCCAGCTGGATGCCAGCGCCCAGCCTAACTCCGTGAAGTCCCGAACTCCTGGGCTCAAGTGCTTCTCCCCAGGTCAGTCGGACCACTACCAATGTCTGGCTCATGAATTTTTTTTTTTTTTTTTTCTTTTAAGACAAGGTCTCACTGTGTCACCCAGGCTGGAGTGCAGTGCTGCAATCTCAGCTCACTACAAACCTCTGCCTCCTGGGTTCAAGGGTTCTCCCACCTCAGCCTCCTGAGTGGCTGGGGATTACAGGTGCAAGTCACCATGCCCAGCTAATTTTTTTGTATTTTTAGTAGAGACAGGGTTTCGCCATGTTGGTCAATCTGGTCTCGAACTCCTGGCATTTATAGTAGAGGACAGGATTTCGCCATGTTGGTCAAGCTGGTCTGTTGAACTCCTGGCCTCAAGTAATCCACCCGCCTTAGCTTCCCAAAGTGCTGGGATTATAGGCATGAGTCACCTGTGCCATGCCTGGCTCATGAAATTCTTTTAGGAAGACTTCCGGTTGGCTGTAATATACAGGGGAAATAGTAGTCTGATGAAGAAAGACGAAGGCTGGTCTCACCTGAGCTCCTGGTCTTTCTGGGACTCAAACAGTATCTCGCTTCTTTGGGAAGCTCACCTGAGGCCCTATCACCCTTGTTGTGGCTCCCAGGGCATCCGGAATTTTCCTGACACAGAACTCTCCACATTATGTTGTAACTGCTAGTTGGCTTCTCTGTCTTTCCATTTAGCTAAAGCTCTCTATGAACAAAAACTATGTCTTATTTACCTACCTAGGATGGTGCCTGGCACATGGTAGGCACTCAATACATGTGTGTTTAAGTTACAAAAAAAAACCCACCTTTTTGTATGACGGAAACACATGGAAAATACCATGACATAGCATTAGGGTGCCTTAGCATACATAGGTTAACTCTCAATAAAATTACAAACCACCAGAAATCAATTAATATTTACCATTTAACACTTAAATACTTAAACATTATTCATTGCTGGAACCTTTATTTTTAAAAAATATGTGGTATTAATTTTTGTATTTTATAAATGAAATAGTTCTTGGATTATAGTAAGCATTCAATAACAATTAGTAACTACTACTACTAACAGTAATGGTGTGTGTTCTTTTTGTGGATAAAATATGTGTGCTGAAATTTTAAAAAGATGTCAAAAATAAAGTTGTCTTCTGATTAAGAAAGTCCTGCTAGGAAGAGCAGTAACTTGATGAATTCAGTGATTGTTCTTTAATTTTCATCTCTGGAAAATGCCAATTTTTCAGTTATGCTTCCATTATCTGGTTCTAGGTAACTGCCTGAAGTCAAACAAATTATTCACAAGATCTTACACTATATGCTCTTAAAAACAAAAACAAACAACAAACAGAAAAAGATTTAGTAGGTGGACATACCATAGGTGTATAATCCTCCCAGGAGCCAAGATAGCTAGGAAATGAATTGGTAATCTATGACGATGTGATAATTACATAAAGCTCTATTATGATTATTTGTTTCCTTCAATAGACTAAGTTTCTTAAGGATAAGAACAAACTTGTTTATCATTGCATAATTAGTATTGAATAGTTGCTAGCCCATTGTAAGCTCTTAATAATTGTTGAATGAGAGAGTAGCTTGGTGTATATATGCTCTGAGTAAAGTAAGTCAGATTTAATTAAGGTTCCTCTGGCTCCCTAAATAATACAAGGTCCTACTGAGTGGGAACATCTATGTTCTTTGGTTTCTCTCTCTCTCTCTCTCTCTGTCTTTCTCTCAGCATAATCCTGGCAGATTTGTGCTCTTGCTTCTTGTTTGTCTAGATTCCAAGCAAATTGCAGATGTGCTGTTCATGTAGCTTTACTTCAGAGAACAAGTTTACCATAAAGTGATTATTCTCAGGTTTACTAGTCCTAAGAACTTAGATTTTAGTGATTCCTAGGTAACTTCAGTAGCATCCCTACAAACTAAAGTTTGTGGAGGAGTGCCTTAACAGGTGAGGTCTCATATTTTATCTTGGTAATGTTAATTGATTCAAGTACTTTCTAGGCACTGGAGATACAGGGGACCAAAACAGTTTCTGCCTCAAAGGAATTTGCATCCTAATTGGCAGAGAGTAAATGCACGAGCAAACAGATCCTGTTGCCAGCTTGTTTGTCATTCAAGACAGCTGACTATAGTGTAGTTTAGGAAAATGGCTAGGGTTAGCAAATTACCAACAATTTTTAAAAAGTCAAATTTAAGGCTGGTATGGTGGCTCACACCTGTAATCCCAGCAATTTGCGAGGCTGAGGCAGGAGGATCACTTGAACCCAGGAGTTTGAGACCAGCCTGGGCAATATGGTGAAACCCCATCACTACAAAAAAATACAACTAGCTGGGCATAGCTGTGTGCGCCTATAGTCTCAGCCACTAGGGAGGCTGATGTGGGAGAATTGATTGAGGCTGCGAGTTTGAGCCTCACTGTACTCCAGCCTGGGCAACAAGAGAGACCTTGTCTCAAAAAACAAAACAAAACAAAAAAACAACCCAAAACACTGCAACCTCTGCTTCCTGGGTTTAAGCGAGCACTTTTGGCTAATTTTTGTATTTTTTTTTTCTTTTTGTAGATACAGGGTTTCACCATGTTGGCCAGACTGGTCTCAAACTCCTGACCTCAAGTGATCCACCTGCCTCAGCCTTCCAAAGTGCTGGGGTTACAGGTGTGAACCACCACACCCAGCCAAAAAAAAAAATGTATATATATAAAATAGCTCTCTATATAGATGTTAAATATCAACTATATAACATATATTTTTATTAAATATATACATATTAAATTTATATAAATATATATTTAAATAATAAGATGGGGTCTTGCTATGTTGCCCAGGCTGGTCTTGAACTCCTGGGCTCAAGCAATCCTCCCTCCTTGGCTTCCCAAATTACTGGGATTGTAGGTGTGAGCCATCATGCCAGGACTGTTCATGGAAATTTAATAATGCTTATGGTATATTTAGCATCCAATGCTTCCTGATTCTCTCATATGCTTTAAACATGCCCAATAAAGATTAATTAGGATGAGACAATTTAGGACTATGTTTTCTATTAAGAAATTTTTCTATATACTTAAGATATGATTTATTGTCATAGTTTTAGATACCATATTTGCTGAGGAAAAGTACTCAAATGTACTTTGTCAAAGTGACAAAGATATGACAGGTTTTTGAAAAATTATTTTTGTCCTGTATTTCACATTTCCCCAAGAATACAGAATTTAAGGACAAAAGGTGTGCCTGCTTTGCCTGTTTTTACAGTAAAAAACTGTGTTGATTGTGTTGATTGTGTGTCAGGTATTAATAAGTGCTTTGTTTTCAATTTTTCTTCTGTTTTAATAACAGCATTAGGAGGAGGTGCCATTACTATCTTGTTTTTACACGTGGAAGATAAAGCTTAGAAGTTAGGGTTTGTGGCCAGGTGTGGCAGCTCATGCCTGTAATTCTAGCACTTTGGGAGGATCGCTTGAGGCCAGGAGTTTGAGACCAGCCTGGATAGCATAGTGAGACCCTGTCTCTACAAAAAAAAAAAAGAAAATTAGCTGAGTGTAGTGGTGCACGCCTGTACTTCTAGCTACTCGGGAGGCTGAAGTGGGAGGATGACTTGAGCCCAGAATTTAGAGGTTGCAGTGAGCCATGATTGCGTCAGCTTGGGCAACAGAGCGAGACCTTGTCTCAAGAAAAAAAAAAAGAAAAAAGAAGTTAGAGTTTGTTCAAGATCACATAATTAGGAAAGGACAGCATGAGTGTAGGCCTTCTAACTGCTGAAGCCTGCGCCCTAACCACAATGCTGCACTGCTCTACCAAGCTCAAACTGGACCTCTCTGCATGTCACAGCCTTATTCAGACAGGCTGACTTATCCTCAGGTAAACACCACCATTCCTTACCTTTCAGAAGCCCTAATTTCTATAGCTTTCTAACCAGATGATTTCTCAGGTGTTCCATAAAAATCTGTATTGTGGACGCTTTAAGTTTTTAGAAATGTTCTATTTTCACTCTACACGTATTTAAAAGTGGTATTCTTTTCAGCAAAGTAAATGACATATTTGTAAAAAATTCCTTGGAGGACATGGACGTACGGAATAATTCAGGGAGATGTTGTGGTTTGAGCAGCTTATGTAAATTTTTTTTTCTTGCTAACAATATAAAACATGTTGGTGTTTAGTTCTGCGTGGTGGTCCTCTCGCTGGAAGCTACAGGTTACGGCAGTTTCACCTTCACTGGGGGTCTGCTGATGACCACGGCTCCGAGCACATAGTAGATGGAGTGAGCTATGCTGCAGAGGTAAGCCCTCAGACACATCTTTGTGATTCACGGTTATCCTACATGGTGGGATTTAAAGGGTACAGAGACAACTTTACTGATTCCAAATAGATCCTGAGCCAATTAAGTATCTTAGTGTCTGAAATTGCTTTATTCATTCAATATGAGAGTTTATCAATACGAGAGCTTCAAATGTTGCCCTCCTAAGCCTTAAACAACCCTGAGAGCTTAGGGTTATATGTTCCCATTTTAGAAATGAGTAAACTGGTTGCTGAAGAGATTAAGTAATTTATCCAGCTAGGAAGCATTGAGACAGGTTTAAATCTAGATCTGTCTGATATCAAATTACAAATTGTTTCTATCTATTGAAAGGCCAGTGAGTAGAGAGAGAAACATTTGTCTTATGTCCAAATGTGGTCATGTTTCATCCAGATACAAATATCCACTAATATGTAAAGACCACATTCAATAGGTAATATTTAAATAGGTAAATGGCAAAGTCTCACTGAAGAAAAAAAAAAAAAGACAAACTCTTCTGAACTCTATCTCTATATTTACAGGTATAAAAAATAAAAATCTGTTAATTATTCAGCTTATTGGTAAATCATAACACAATAAAGCATTTATTGAGTTGTTTCTACTCCTTTTTCCTTATAATTATATTCACTAATAATACTCTGTGCAGGATCTGGATTAAAAAAATACTCTACATTTTTAATCCTCTGGTTAAAGAACAAAGCATAATAAGCTTCAGATTTAATATGATTAAATATTACTAACACCCAACTTAACCGTGAGATGAAAATGAATTATATGACTCAATCAATACTATTCCCGTGAAAATAATTTGGTTTCTGAGTCGCCTAGGCAAGACAGAACTAAGTTATCAGGCAAGTGCAGTTTTTCTTCATGTTCTCATGGTTACTGAGCTGTAGAGTTTAGATACCTCGTATAGCCCTGCTGTTCAGAGAAATCCGAGAATCGAACTTTTTTCCAGTTTCACTCTTCCATTGACATGTACCTCTTCCCTTTTAAGTTTATCATCCAAAACGTTTGCTTTGCCACTAAATCACTTGTGTTTGAGGCCAAGTAGCTTTAGGGTATGGAACCTGCTCTGTCCTCAGGGTAGAGAAATAAAAGGTACATACAAAGTTTTTTATGATGATGGACAAACTGTCAAGAAGGTAGAAAGTGGGACTCCTGAATTTGTATGGTGTCTCAATTTGGATCATTTACCAAATAGTTTTCATGTTTTCTTTCTAAAGTTTTATGTTCTGAATATGACATGTTGTACTACATGTCCAAAGCACCCTCGGGACTAATTACTGGTTGCTTTGGATCACTGGTCTCTCATTTTCCTTAGCAACTCAGGGAAATTGGTCAAAATGCTTTGTGTGGTTACACCTTGTACTTTAATAAACTTGAAAGTACTACATACTCAGAGAGGCTTAGGTTTTCTGCCAGCTGGCAAGTAGTTTCCTGAAAAGGGTCCTCCTGACACATGTCAGAGGCTTAGAGTCCTTACCTGCAGATCAAGGGCCATTTTTGTAGATAAAGACTTTTTGTTTTTGTTGTTCTGCAATAAATCATTTATTTATTTATTTATTTATTTATTTATTTAAAGCAAACCAGTGAAGGAAAGGACCAAAACCTTTGGTTCATTTATGTATTTATGAATGGAAAAAATTTGTAATGCAAATTTCACTTATTCAAAAACTTAGGTACAACTTACAACATTACAGATAATTCTTTTCCCTTCTTTTGTTTCACATGGAGACCCTGGAGACTCAATTCATGTTAAGACACCTAAGTATGAGTCCTCCAGGTAAGTATTATACAAATTGGAAGCAGCTAGGAATTTTTAAGTATATTTTAAGACATACATTTTTATGCATGCTTTAAACAAACAGTATTTTTTTTTTTTTGAGACAGAGTTTTGCTTTTGTTGCCCAGGCTAGAGTACAATGGTGCCATCTCGGCTCACTGCAACCTCCGCCTCCTGGGTTCAAGTGCTTCTCCTGCCTCAGCCTCCTGAGTAGCTGGGATTACAGGCATGCACCACCGTGCCTGACTAATTTTGTATTTTTAGTAGAGACAGGGTTTCTCCATGTTGGTCAGGCTGGTCTCGAACTCCCGACCTCAGGTGATCTGTCTGCCTCAGACTCCCAAAGTGCTGGGATTACAGGCATGAACCACCGCGCCCAGCCAGTATTTTTTTTTTTTTTTTTTTTAATGAGAGACTCTAACAAAAAAGCTATGACCAGCACCAGCATTTAAAGATAAAGCTTTGTGAATAAAACTTGGAATAGATTTTCTTTTTTCTTTCTTTCTTTTTCTTTGAGATCTGTTGCCCAGGCTAGAATGCCACGGTACAAACATAGCTCACTGTAGCTTTGACCTCCTGGGTTCAAGGGATCCTCCCACCTTAGCCTCCGGAGCAACTGGGACCACAGGTGGGCACCACCACATCTGGCTAATTATTTTTTATTTTTTGTAGAGACAGAGTCTGGACATCTTGCCTAGGCTGGTCTGAAACTCCCGGGCTCAAGCAATCTTCCCTCCTTGGCCTCCCAAAGTGCTGGGATTACAGGCCTGAGCCACTGCACCCACCCTTGGAATTGTATACTGTTCTTTAATATGCATTCAAGGCTATTTCTTATTTCATTGGCTTATATATTCATTCATTCTTTCACTCAGTAAGAATTCTTTGAGAATCAAACCCGCTCCTAATCCTTACACAGCTTACTGATGCTTACCCTGAAGGGAGTGCAGCCTCACACATATATGAGGTCAGAAAATGCTGCCCTATGGGATGGGCATCTGTTTTAAGTTAAACCAGGTGGATGGATGGATGAAGGGGAGGGAACCAGGTCAACTGGGGAGATAGCAGTAGTTTTGCATAAAATTATGTGTGAGGATGTGGGTTGGGAAGGAGGCTTACACATTTGAAAAACCGTATGGCCTTCAACAGTGTAGTTAGAGCATGGAGAATGACGGGGAGAGTTGTCAGAGGCAAAGTTGGAGAGACTGGGAAGGGCCCGATCTAGCTGAGGTAAGTCCTGGTAAGGATTATGAAGGTGATTCTGAGCGCAATGGGAATCCACTGAATGGCTTTGAATTGGGAAGTGGTGATATTTGCATTTCAAAAATAATTCGCAACTGTTGTTTGAGAATAGATTGGATGGAAGCAGGAGTAGCTAAGGGGAGCTTTGGAGGAAACTTTTGGGGAAAGTTCCAGGCAATAAATGAGAGTGCAAGTGGAGGCTGGCTGGCTGGCAGTGGCAGCTTTAGTGGGATTTGTCGATTGGTGGGTTTGAGAGTGAGGAAGGGCAGGATCCATGTTTCTGGATTGAGATAGGAAATGCAGATAGAGAAAGTCTGGGTCAAACCTCAGGGTTGGTGGAGTGGGAGAGGTAGACAATAAACAAGTAAATGGTGCATGGTAAGTTCTTTGATGGGAGCAATACCATGTGATCTGGTAGAGTGGCTGAGGGCTTAGGAAAAGCCTCTTTGAGGTGATACATGAATTGAGACTGAATGATAAGAAGAAAGCACTGTGAGAAAAATCTAGAGAGAGCTTTCCAGGAAGTGGGAGCAGCAAGCACAAGTGCTCTAAGGCAGGAGTGTGGCTGGCATGTTCAACAGGAGAAAGCCATTGGCCTGTAGGATTGGAATTAATGAGAAAGGAACAGTTATGGGCTCTGTCCCAGAGAGGCAGGCAGGGACCATGCCACATCGGGTGCCGTTGGGCATGGTAAGCAGTCTGAAGTTTATCTGTAACGCAGTGTAAAAGACGACAATGGAAGGTTTTGATCAGGGGAATGACATGTTCTGCTTTATATTTTATAAAATATAACTAGCTGCTGGGTGGAGAGGAGGCTGTTGTCAGGCAAATGTTGAAGTAGGGAGAAGGACTAGAAGGTTATGGAAGTCATTCAAGTGAGCAGTGACAGTAAATTGGACTATGGGGCTGGTGGAGACGAAGAGAGCTGGACAAATCTATGACGTTTGGGAGATAAAGTCAGTAGGGTTTGCTGATGAAAAGGATGTCATGATTGAAGGAAGGAAAAAGAGGAGTTTAGAAACACTCTTAAGGTTTTGGTGTAAGCATATCGGAGGCTAGTGGTGCCATTTACTGAAATGTGCAAGTCTGGGAAGGAGCAGGATGCAGAGAGGAATTCACTCTCTGTTTTAGACACGTTGTTTGAGATGCTTGTTAGGCATTCTAGGCTCATGTTCAAGTAGGCTGTTGGATAAAAACTTCGAGTTTAAGGAGAGGTCAAGGCTGGAGATGGGGGCATTTGGGAGTCCTTGCATTTGGTTTCACGTTCAAAAGAACCCTTTTGTGCTCAGCTCCGTGATTCCAAGGAGTTGATTAGTTTTTCCAGCCACTTTTGTACTAAGTTCATGACCATCATCAAGTTATGTTCCCTTGTAAGTAAAAAGAAGAAGTGAAAGAAAGAAAAAAGACATTTAAAGTTGCAACATATACAAATTTAATTTTAGGCCTAATATGATGGTTTGTGATATTACAGAGAGATTAAAGTGATCTAAATCAAGAAACATTTTATCCCAAAAGTTAGGCATCTGCAAAACTAGGCTAATTGTCCATTCTGTGTTTGGAACTTTATCTAATGAAAGTTTAGGCAAAATATATAGCAAGCATTTTAAATATGTAACTAATAATAAAACTGATTTCAACATTCATCATGGATTTTTGGCATAGTATTTGGCAGTATATTTTGCATACCACTAATATGCGTTTGAAACTGCTAAATTTTAATATTATTATCTAGAAATTAGTTGCCAGTAGGGGAGATTCTAATTTTCATTTTTGTAGTGGCTACAATTTCTTATCATTCAGCTCAAATCACTGCTGTTGTCAATGTTAGTCAGGAAATGTGAGTTTGCTAGTTTTTTTTATGTTTTAATTCAAATATAAATGTTAATAGAAGTGGTATCAGTTTCTCTGTGAAGTTATTGCTGCCAGTTAAGTAAGGTGTGTAGGAGAGAAAGAAAAAGATTTTCTTGGCCTAGTTTCCCATCATAGTTTAAATGGTTGTATTTTTAGCTAGCAGAAGGATAATTATATGTAGGATATATATATATATGTCCATTCATCTCTCTTTAGTTACACATTCATATTTTAATCAGTTCTGGTTGTGACCCTAAAGAAGTCATTTTATATCTTCCTCTCTTTGGTCTCATCTCTTACTAAGAGAACTGGTACATTGGCACGGAGCCACTTAAAACAATTTTAACATCCTTATCAGTCCTTCCCTGACAGTGAATGTCATCTGTCTCATGTGAGCCAAATGAATTCTGTTTCATCACCCAGTGTTTTCAGGTTTCTTTCCTCCCCCAACTATCTCACACCAACTTGCAACATGGCACTATAGGAATCCACTTTTATATTACTTGCCTGATATCGCAATCTTCCTTGATTGTTTGTGGATGGTACACTGTTTTATAGTTTTACAGTTGACTGTTTATGATTGTTATCTATTCAGAAATTATCTCCTATAAATTGCCTGTAAGACATAGAGTTATATTTAAAGGATGGGATAAAGATGTATTTGAAAATGCTAAATCCTCTCTGTAACAGTCAGCTAGAAAGATGATCTGGGCATGAAGACTCACAAAAGTATTTTCTTCCTGATAAACAAAAGGGATTCATTAGAAGGAGATCTTGTCTGAAGTCAGTCCCTCATATCAGGTCCTTGGACACCATGGCTTGATCACCACTTATGATTGTAGCTAAATCTTTTGGGCATGTCGCATTGCCCTTTGGCTTCTGTCTCAGTTTGTCCTTTTGGGGAAGAGTCCCCAAAAGTGGTTTTCTCCTTTATCGTTATTCTGAAATCTTTCACACTTGTGGGTGTGTTTGAGATACTGTATTGCTTGCAATGGTAAAACATTTAGGATACCTTTAGGTGTTGCATGAGGCTGCTTGCATATGAGTAGAGTTGTGAGGTGGGTGAAGTCTGTTTTCCAGAGTTCCAGGCCCTCCACCTCCTTCCCTTCCCCCTTGTCTATTTATCCCCCTCCTTAGTAGCACCAGCTACCCTCCCATTTTCTACCTCTTTTTCCCCCATTGAAACTTGCTTTCAGCAAAGTATCTAAACATATTCATAGAACATGGTAAGTGTATCAAAATGATAAGCATTTTTATGTGTGAGATGACAAATATGTTCATCAGTTTGACTTAATCATTCCACATTTATACATATATTAAAACATTACATTGTGCCCCATAAATATAACACTTATGATTTGCCAATTAAAAATGCTCTTAATAATAAAAAAGTGTGAATGCTACTTAACATGATTACTCATAAGGAGACTTTGTGTTTTCAAGCCATAAAAAGTCTTAAAATGACAGGTAGTAAACATTTAACTGGGCAGTTTTAGAAACAGCCTCACTGTCCTTGGTAGCGGGATTGTCCTGGAAAACCTACTGTGTAGGAGGTTGACTTCTCCACCTACCTGTGAGCTCGGGCCCCTTCCATGGACTTTACTGCCAGCCGGGATCTGATCTGAGGCTGCTGCATTGCAGTCTCATCTGTGGAAGACATGGAGGAGCCTCCAGTTACTTGGGAGCAATGACTGGAGTTTGTTAGGGCTGGAGGGGCTGTGAAGGATGTTCAAAGCTTTTTTTTTTTTTTTTTCTGAGATGAAGTCTTGCTCTGTCGCTCAGGCTGGAGTGCAGTGGCTCAATCTCAGCTCACTGCAACATCCACCGCCTGGGTTCAAGCAATTCTCCTGCCTCAGCCTCCCGAGTAGCTGGGACTATAGTCATGCACTACCATATCCAGCTAGGATGCTCGAGGCATTCTATATAGTCTTTAATATAGTGCACCACGGGCTAGTTAAGTGACTGTGATCCTTCACTGCATGAACTTTCACTTTTGGACAAAAATAAATAAGAGGATTCTGTCCAAGATTCTTGTGGTAAATACATTATACATAAGCGTACAGCACCAGAAAATTTGTAAATGTTTTATTTGCATTTATGTTTTTCAGGATGTCTAACAAAACATTCCTACTATGTTGTGTATCTCCCTTTCAGCTCCATGTTGTTCACTGGAATTCAGACAAATACCCCAGCTTTGTTGAGGCAGCTCATGAACCAGATGGACTGGCTGTCTTGGGAGTGTTTTTACAGGTGAGAATCTACTGATTTCATGTTAAATGATCAGCCTTGTTGAAGAAAGAGCTTCAGTCACGAAGTAGACATTTAACCGTCTTGTTTAATAGTAAACTCAATTTAGGTGTAGCATTTTCCTTTTGCAATGAATATTTTAACAATTAGTATATTCACTTTAGGAGCATTGCTCTTAAGTCTCTTCCTATGGTCCATTTGTCATATTTTATGTGAATAACAACAGCAGCATCAACAATCAAGAACAGCAGCAGAAATAACAACTGAGATACTGGGAAGAAAAATTTATTCTGGGCTCTTCCTAATTGTATACTATTTTAGGACAGAATAAAGTTCAAGTCCTGATTCTTCAAACACTGTGCTCCCACAATGACATATTGTCCCAATGTGCTCACTGGTTTTTTAAAAAAATTTATTGTATTTCCTTTAATCTAATATTACATGTGGTTAGACACATTATTGTCATCATACCTGGGAACAGGTTGGGCTTCTCCCTCCCTCTGCCTCCACCATTCTTGTAGGTGTGCCCCTTTGTCAACACCCCATACTCTCCATGTGTTGTAACTCATAAACAGTGAATACCATGGATGGCAACAGTTTCCTTGCCTTTGGACACCAAGTAGGGGTGGTTGCGGCAGGATCCAGGTGCTTTTAAAACCTTCAGGTAGACTTCAGAACACCTGTAATAATGAAAAGAGGATCCTTTATGAAATCTATAATTTATGATGAGTTTTGTTATGATGGATATTATATTCTTTGATTTGGGACCTCAAATCATTTTAGGCTGCAAATGTGAGATGTTTGCATCTAGTATTTTTGATGCCACCATGTCCGTTTGAATTTAGGGGCTGACTGTCACATCTAGCTAGGTAGTGCAGGTTATTTTGTTAGACTGTCTTACGCAAAGTTTCTCTCAAGTTAACCTACATCTTAAACACTGATAAAACTTAACAAATATTAAGCTGTCTATTTAGTTTTGGGTCTAAGCTTGCAAGTTCAGTACAGGAACCCTGTAATATTACTTGTTGTTCAGATCCTTCTGGGCATGATAAGACCGGCAGGTAAAAGAGAAGCTTTGTTATAGGAACAATCACTGTATGTTCTGTGCTGGCTGAGGTTTTTTAAAAAATAATTTTAAAATAGTGGCTGAAATTGAGTGAGTTCGAGACCTGATCTGCTACAGTAACCATTTCTTTTGAAATTTCATGTTTTTAGATTGGTGAACCTAATTCCCAACTGCAAAAGATTACTGACATTTTGGATTCCATTAAAGAAAAGGTAAAATGAATTACTATTTGTTAATAATTAACGTATTTGTTGTTCTCTCCCATATTTTCTTATCTTCCTTTAAAGACTTAGACATATGCTGCCTGCTTTGAAGTTTGCAACATACTTGATGAAAAAAAAGCAGAAGTAACCTATTATCACTTATCTTTTGAATGTAAAGGTCTTAAATTACCTAAAATCAACATGAATACATATACTTATGCATAACTAGTCTCTGGTATTATATTACAGAGTAAGCCTTTAATTGTAACACATTTAAGGGACCACTTATATTAAAACAAACCTTATGCTTCTTAAATAAATCTATATGATATGTTACTTTATCTAAAATTTTTAAGATGAAGATAGATGCTTTTTAAAAGATACTAAAAGAAGATATTAGATAACTCTGGATGCAGATATTTACATAATTATAATGGATGTGCATGGATGTATGTTTTTTGAGGTCTATGTAAAGCTATCCCATTGTAATTTGTGGGAATTCTTTTTGTTCCCCCAGGGTAAACAAACTCGATTCACAAATTTTGACCCATTATCTCTGCTTCCACCGTCCTGGGACTACTGGACATATCCTGGTTCTCTTACAGTTCCACCTCTTCTTGAGAGTGTCATATGGATTGTTTTAAAGCAACCGATAAACGTCAGCTCTCAACAGGTACATAATCTCTTCCAGGTTGATACTGATTCCCTTAGAGGAAAGTGGGCTTTTTTTTTTTTTTTTTTTCCAACCCTGCCCTTAATTTCTGCTGTGTTTTGAAGTCTGTGTTTTCTCTTTTTTTTTTTTTTTTCCAACCCTGCCCTTAATTTCTGCTGTGTTTTGAAGTCTGTGTTTTCTCTTTATTCATCAGATGGGTGATTGGGCTAGATGAGATCTGTGTCCCTTTCATATTTGACCTTCTGTGATTAGACGATTTATTTGCCACTTCTTAGAAATGTACATAGCGACACTGATGAAAGTGAAGCATCATTTTGAGCACTATAGTCATTTGCTTTTGTTTTGTTGCTGTTTGATATGGGGATATAAACAGGTTGAGATACAAACAAAAAAATCAGAGACAGGCTACTTATAGAAGGTGACATTTTTCTTTCTGACCTGAGTCTCCACTCCTGCTTCTACAAATTTCCAAGTGAAACTTGAGGACAGTGATTCGTGCAGTGCCTTAAGAAATGTGTGCCTGCTAAGTGTAAGAAATTGTTGTTTTGTACACTTAAAAACTAGTTAAGTGGGTAGGCTGGGCACAGTGGATCCTGCCTGTAATCTCAGCACTTTGGGAGGCTGAGATGGGTGGATGGCTTGAGCCCTGGAGTTTGAGACCAGCCTGGGCAACATGGTAAAACCCCGTCTCTACAAAAAATACAAAAATTTGCCAGGTGTGGTGGTGCGTGCCTGTAGTCCCAGCTACTCGAGGGGTTGAGGTGGGAGGATTGCTTGAACCCAAGAGGCAGATGCTGCAGTGAATCAGGATCATGCTGCTGCATTCCAGAGCAAGACTTTTGTCTCAAAAAATTTTCTTTTGTTAAGAGGGTAGATCTCATTTAAGTGTTAGAGAAAAGAGAGAGAAAGGGGAGGGGAGTGAGAAGGAGAGGAAGAATTGTTGATCTTTTGGCATTTGTTGACAAAAACTTTTGTTGGGCTGTCTGAGGGGCTTAATGCTTAAAGCATTTGTAGAGAGGCTGTGGGGAGGCTCTTTTTGTGTAGACATCTAGTCACTCATTCTTCTGTTAAATGCTTATGGAGCTCCCCCTGTAGGCCAAGAGTCTGCCAGACTCAGGATATCCAGTTTGTCAACCAGGCTGGTGTGGAGTGGATGCAACCATACCTCACCCCAACCTTGAACTCCTGGGCTCAAGCTGTTCATCTTCCTGCCTCAGCCTCCCATGTAACTGGAACTACAGTGGCACGCCACCATGACTGGCTTATTACTTTGAAAAAGTTTGTGTAGACAGGATCTTGCGTTATTTCCCTGGCTGGTCTTGAAGTGATCCACTTCTGGCCTCAAATGATCCTTCTGCTTCGGCCTCCCGAAGTGCTAGGATTACAGGCATGAGCCACTGCGCCCAGTCAGGATATCCAGTCTTTAATGTTCAAAAACTGTGCCTGGAGCGCTGAACCAGGGGGCTGGCCAATCTGATGGGTGGATGCTGTGTGTTCTTGGATGCTGTGCTTCTTCGTTGGTTTTGTTTTTGTTGTTCTTTTTGAATTAGGTGCAATATTTTATCATGAACATAGTCTAGTAATTTTTTTTTTTAAGGAAAGAGTCTCACTCTGTTGCCCAAACTAGAGTATTATGACATAATCATAGATTAGTGCAGCCTCAATCTCCCGGGTTCACGCCATTCTCCTGCCTCAGCCTCCTGAGTAGCTGGGACTACAGGCGCCCACCACCGCGCCCGGCTAATTCTTTGTATTTTAAGTAGAGATGGGATTTCATCATGTTAGCCAGGATGGTCTCGATCTCCTGATCTCATGATCTGCCCACCTCAGCCTCCCAAAGTGCTGGGATTACAGGCGTGATAGTCTAGTAATTTTTGCAGCTAATAAAGTACACATGTACTGGGCTTGCCCACCTGCCTACCTCTTTATTTTTCCTCCTAATGATACCAGAGCTGGCCCACCTTTACCGAGATCATTTCAGGCAGCATTTCCCCTTGGAGCATTGAACACATCCTTCTTTCTGTTGGGTGTTTCTCCTTGTTGACCTTGTTTTTAGGATTAAAGGCAAATAATAACCTAGTGTGTATACTTTTTAAAACATTTTACAAAGGTCTGTGTAGAAATCCAGAGCTTGACTGACATGAAAACTCCTGTGAATTTTTCTATCATTGTATCATGAGAAAAATGACCTGTTACTGATTCAGAGTCCTTAATAAGGGAATTCATTTTTCTACCTGTCACATGCTAAATGGTTTACTTTTGTATTTCTTTATTAAATTTGAACTGAATGATATTAAGAATGAATAAACTATAACATCAAGGTGGTTAATAAGGGAATCATATTTTCCATCATATTTCAAGGATACTATTATTTCTTAAAGCCACTTGGAAAATAACTTTTTGTTTAGTTTCATTTTTTGCTTTCAATCCACCAGTGATCTGGAGGAGAATATATCAAAATATATAGTTTAGTTCCTTAAAAATAATAAAGTTAACCTTATTAAAAATATCTACCTGCAAGTTTAGGAATTATGACTGCCTAGCTGTGGATTCACTACTTTGTCTTATTTGAGGCTCAATGGATTACTATTATTAATGTGGTTTTTCTGCAGAACAGTATATAAAATAATAGCTGTGTTTTAGAGCTCTGAAGTGATTGTTAATTCACTTTGGAGCATCCACTTAAATCTCCTCTAGTAGGAACACTTTCACATATTTTAGTTTCTAACAAAATTGAGAAAGTTATTTGAGTAACAATTCAATTTATTAAAATCTGATATTGTGGTGGTTTTAAAAGTTAAAGAATAAAGCAAAAGAAAAAAAATTCAGTCCCAGTCTAACCATGAAAAAATATCAGGCAAAATCCAGTCAGGGGACATTCTATAAAATAGTCAGTATTCTCAAGGTCATTAAAACTGCCAAGGTCATCAAAAACACGGTAAGTCTGAGACACTGTCACAATCAAGAAATGCCCAAGGAGATATGAATACTAAGTGTAGTGTTGTCCGGATTTTTTCCTAGGGTTTTCTCCACAGTTTCCTGTCAAGTTACAGTTTGACCTAAGGGGCAAATCAGATGTTTTTCATTTTCTTTTTCTTGATTTAAGTCCATTTTTCTCTCTCAGAGTCACTCATTGAGGACTAAATTCTTAACTGCCATGCCAGTGAGCAGATAAATGTACTATTTTCTGATCCTTTTGAAGACAAATCTGTCATTTTCTCTGGAGGGCCAACTTCTCTTGCCAAGTCTCTTTGGGTTATCTTAAATCATCAACACTGGGTTACTTAGCTGAAATTCAATATGCAAAATACTTGGCTTTGTTTCTACTCTCCTTTTAAAGAAAAATAACTCTTTTTTATTATGATATTATTTGCATGCAGTGAAACTCATGAATTTTAAGTGTGTGGTTGCTGATTTTGGTAACTGTATATAGACATGCTACAACTACTGCAGTCAAGATGTAGTTCTCAACCACCATTGTGGCTCACATCTCTAATCCTAGCATTTTGGGAGGCCAAGGCGGGTGAATCTCCTAAGGTCTGGAGTTCGAGATCAGCCTGGTCAACATGGTAAAACCCTGTCTCTACTAAAAATACAAAAATTAGCCATGTGTGGTGGTGTATGCCTATAATCCCAGCTACTCAGGAGGCTGAGGCAGGAGAATCGCTTGAACCCGGGAGGCAAGGTTGCAGTGAGCCCAGATTGCACCGCTGCACTCCAGCCTGGGTGACAGAGCAAGACTCCATCTCAAAATAAATAAATAAAAGATAGAGATCTCAGCCAAAAATTTTCTGGTGCTCTCTTGCAGTCCTTCACCTTCTTCACTATAGTCCTAGGCGACAACTGATGTGCTGTCGCTAGAATTTTACTTTTTCTAGAATTTTATTTAAATGAGTCATACAATAGATTTTTGTGTTTGAATTCTTTTACTGGTATAATCTTTTTAAGATTCATCTATTTTATTTTATTTTATTTTTTTCTTAGAGACAGAGTCTGGCCCTGCTGCCCAGGCTGGAGTGCAGTGGCGTGATATTGGCTCACTGCAACCTCCACCTCCCAGGTTCAAGTGATTCTGCTGTCTTAGCCTCCTGAGTAGCTGGAACTACAAGCACTCACCACCACGCCCAGCCAATTTTTGTATTTTTAGTAGAGATGGAGTTTCACAATGTTGGCCAGGCTGGTCTTGAACTCCTGGCCTCAAGTGATCTACCCATCTTGGCCTCCCAAAGTGTTGGGATTATAGGTGTGACCCATGGTACCTGACCCATTTCATTAATTTTTATTACTGTGTAATATTCCATGGTATGGATATATTATATTTTAAAAATATATTTCACAGTTGATGGACATTTGGTTTGCTTTTAATTTTTGGCCGTTATGAACAATGGCAATCCATATATGGATATTAGGAATAATTTGCACACTTTTGTGTGCACACATTTTTATGTGTCTTGTGTCAATACCTAGGACTGGAATTACTAGGTCATGTTTGCTTAATTTTGTAAAGTACTATTATATTGTTTTCTTTTGTTTTTTTTTGTTTTTTTCTGAAGGAGTCCCGCTTTGTTGCCCAGGCTGGAGTGCAGTGGTGTGATCTTGGTTCACTGCAACCACCACCTCCCGGGTTCAAGCAATTCTCCTGCCTCAGCCTCCTGAGTAGCTGTGATTACAGGCACTCGCCACCACACCCAGCTAATTTTTGTATTTTTAGTAGAGACAGGGTTTCACCATGTTAGCCAGGCTGGTCTCGAACTCCTGACCTCAAGTGATTTGCCCGCCTCAGCCTCCCAAAGTGCTGGGATTACAGGTATGAGCCACTGTGCCCGGCTGAGTAAAGTACTACTATATTATTTTCTAAAGTGGCTGTGTCATATTAAATTCCCACCAGCAATGTATGAGATTTCTGGTTGCTTCATACCCCTGCAAGCATTTGGCATTGTCAATTTTTCTAACTTTAGGTATTCTAGTGGGTATGAGTGATTTTAATTTGCATTTATCTA